CTTCTACCTGGGAAGAAAGCAAGGTGTCATGGAAATAGGAACAGTAGAAATAAAATAAGGCAATTCACATTTAAAACGGAAGGTAAAACTAGATATAGAAATAGGGTAAACTGCTGATATACTGCTTCAAGGGAGAAGAGCACAATGGCCACACACAACATCATGAATGAGCTTCAGAAACACACATAGGGACTCACAGCTGACTATAGACTCATAAGGGGTTAGGCAGAGCTCAGAAAAGCTCCCCACCGTACAATCTCACTTGGTAATAATGGCAGATAGGCCTGTTTTGGAAGGTGCAGGATTGAAGCACCCCGAGCTCTCTAAGTTAACTCTTTACCACACAGGACTAAATAGGGAATCAGGAATGTATATTTAAGGAGTTCATGTTAAAGCTAAATCTGGAAGGAAGTGAGTGCTTACCTTATCCGGCCTTCAGATGAGATTGTAGCCTCACCATCACCTGGATAACAGCCTGTGAAAGACCCTGAAGGAGGAGCCATGCAGATGTCTGGGGTAAGAGAGTTCCAGGCAGAGGGAACAGTGGATGCAAAGGCCCTGAGGTGGGACTGAGCTTCCATAGAGAGAAGAAAGGCCAAGACAGGATGAAGGAAGGAGGTGAGATCAGAAGGGCCATTTGGAACAAGGTTAGAATGCCTTATGGACAGGATGACACCCATGTGGGGCCTGAACAACTGAGCTGTTGTTGGTACCATACATTAAGAAGGGGGAAATCAGAGGACAGACTCCAGGACAGCCCTCATGATCCCTGCCTCCTGGTATCCGTGTGTAATGCCCTCCTGTTGAGTATGGGCAAGGCCTCATGACTCACTTCTAACAGGAGAGTAAGACTAAGGTGGTGAGATGTCACTTTCAAGATTTGCTTAAAGAAGATTGAGATTTCCATCTAGCTCCCATGGCATGCACGCTCTCTCTCTGTGTGTGTCTCTCTCCTCCCCCCCCTGCCCCGCCCTCTATCTCTTGCTCTCGTGAAACCAGCTGCCACATTGTGAGCTGCCCTGTGGAGAGACCCATGTGGTGAGGAGCTGAGAGCTGCCTACTGAACAGCCAACGAGGAACTGAGTCCTACCAACAACACCTGAGTGGACTTGGGAATGACCCTTCCCTCATCAAGCCCTCAGCTGACATGGTGGCCCATTAGAGACTCTGAAGCGAAGAATCCAAAGAAGGCATAGCTAATTCCTGACCCACAAAATCTCTGAGATCATAACTATTTGCTGTTATTTTAGGCCCTTATGTTGGGGCAATTTGTTGCACAGCAGTAAATCGCTAACAACAGATTTGGCCAGAAATTCAAAGATGAATCAGGAGTTAAAGTGTTTGCCAGGTTGAAATAAAATTGTAATAGACATCTACCTTGGGCTGGCTTCCCCTAACTACAGAGCCTCAGATATGGGTTGAGTGCAGGTATGTGTTTAGAAGTGGATCTTAGAAAACAGGAGTAGAGAAGAAGGCATGTGAGATAGGCAGCAAATATTGAGAGTTTAAATGAGCAATTTCTGCAGTGGGCACCTGGGGTTCAGTCCCTCCAGGAACCTCTAAGAGTGTGTTAGACACACACCCTTAAGGAGTGAGGGAGCTGGGGTATTGATTCACCAAAAATGATGGAGGGTCATTCCCAGGGATGCAAACTCCTTATCAGTTCTGACCTAGAGCCACATGGGCCATAGAAAGCCCCAGGCAGAATGTCACGGGTGTTCACCAGAGCAGGGACTATAGGGAGACTAATGAGGCACAAAGATTGATTGTTCCTTTGGCCTCAATTCTACAATGTCTAGGCACACTGTTGTGACAGATCCTGTCTTAATTTAAATTTTTTTTATTTCAATCATCAAGCATGTTTTACATTAATTTTGATTTTTTGAAACACTGAATTTGAATAATGGTTATCTTTTGACTATTGAGTTTTTGACACTTCCTTAAATTTTGCTTCTGAGACAACAACCTCATTTCTCATCCTAGTCCCAATCCTGGAGTTCACAAATAAGGGCATCAGCACACATGAAGAGGACTTGGGTATCAGCTGCCATATCTGAGTCAGGGTGAGCTCAGTTCTGCTCTAGGAACAAGCAAACCCCAAATCTCAGGGGTTTAAAACATTAGAGATTTTCCTTCTCACCTGCCTACTGTCTGTGCACACAGGAAAAGAAAATAGTATGTGTCCTCTCTTAGTCTCCTGCCCTGTATTTTTCTTAATGTGCTGAAATACATATAACATAAAAGTTACCATCTTAACCATTATTTAAGTGGATAGTTCAGTGGCATTAAGTACATTCACATGCAACCATCACCACCATTCAGCTCTAGACTTTCTCATCTTTATACATTGGAACTCAGTTCCCATTAAACACTCATTTCTCTTCCTCCTCCCCCAGCCTGAGGTACCTATCATTCTACTTCCTCTCTCTGAGTTTGACTCCTCTAGGGACCTCATAAAAGTGGAGTCATACAGGATTTGTCTTTTTATTTTTAATATGTTTTTTAAATTGCTTTCAGAGAGAAAGGGAGAGGGAGAGAGAGATAGAAACATCAATGATGAGAGAAAATCACTGGTCGGCTACCTCCTGCATGCCCCCAACTGGAGGATTGAGTCCACAACCCAGGCACGTGCCCCTACCCAGATTCAAATTGTGCCCTCTGGTTCATAGGTCAAAGCTCAACCACTGAGCCATGCTGGCCAGGCCCAGTATTTGTCTTTTTATGACTGTTTTATTTCACTCAGCATAATGTCCTTAAGGGTCATCCATGTTGTAGCAGGTGTCAAAATTTCCTTCCTTTTTTGAAAAATTTTAAGTGGTAAAAAACACATAACAAAATTTACCATTGTAGCCATTTTTAAGTGTGCAGTTCAGTAGTGTTAAGTACATTTACACTGTTGTGTAACCAACCTCTAAATCTTTTTTCATCATCTTGCAAAAATGAAACTCTACACCCAGTAAACACTAACTCCCCATCTCCCCTCCTTCCCTGCCTGACAACCACCATTCTATATTTTGTTCCTATTAATTTGACTACTTCAGATATAGCTTATAAGTGAATTCATGCAGTCTTTATCTTTTTGTGACTGGCTTCTTCCACTCAGCATAATGTCAGCAACTCTATTCTTACAAATACTTATTTTTCTGTTGTATGTGCATTTCAAATACCACCTCCTTCCATCAGGAGTCCCACCCCCAAGAAATACAAGTATCCGATTAGAAGTCATTATAATATGTTAAGAGTAGGTCAATAAAAAGAGAAGTAATGTCTACATGAGGATGCCAATAAAGATTGTGTCAGGAAATCAACAGCTCTCTAGCTCAATTAGTCGGTGAGTTAAGTCCCTGGAATCAAGGAATGTGGAAGGAAAAAGTTTTACTTTTTCAGCCTAGAAATGGTAAGTGGGCAGCAAGTGGCAGAGGGATGATGTTCATATTTGGAGGGGCCTGACCCACTAGAATAGAACATCCACATCTGCTCATTAAACATATTTTTACGTTCACTTTCTTCTCTAAGATCATTCAGCTGTTGAGGGAAAATGTAGAAATAAAACTTTACTGGATTGAAATTTACACACATGGTAGAATGTTTTCAGATGTGGCCCCCATTCTTTGTCTGTTTCCAAATCTTTGGCAATGTGACTGTGAGCTCCTCCATGCCAGAGGTGTAGCTTTTTTCTCCATCTTTGAATCTGGACTAGACTTAGGATTTTTTATTTGTTTTGGCCGTTAAAATATGGTGGAAGTGACAGTGTACTTTACCAGGCCTTGGTACATTTCCACTGCTCTCACTTGGATCCCTGGCTGAGCCATGTGAACAAATCCAGGTGTGCCTTCCAGAGAAGGAGAGGACAGGCGGACAGAGCTCATTTATTCCAGCCAAGCCCTCCCTAGATCAGTCACCATAGCTGAGCCCCTAATACATTAGAAAGCCCAGCTATGGGACACTCCTGCTGACCCATAGCTGACGCATAGCTGACTGCAGACCAGGAGGAGACCAACAGAGATCAGAACACCTCCTCACTATACAAACCCATTAGAAAATAAAGGAATTATATTAAACTATTTGCTTTTAGGATGGCTTATTATAGAGCAATAACAAATTGATCCTATAATCAAAGTCAACAGAACTGAGGGAAATTATAGTAATCTGCTACTTCTTACTTTTGGCATTTGTACTGATATTTGAGGACAGCACTCACAATCACTCTGCTATTCGAATGCATTTCAGATAACTGTATAGAAGTGCCTCCACTGAGGCTCCCTTCTAGGTAGTCAGGGCAGGGTGGAAGGACATGCATGTTTGTGCAGGAAAATTTGTGATGCTTACTCACATGACTGGGCAGGATTTCAACTCCTGTGTGATTCATCCTTTGATGATAAAGATTGAAGATATTTCCGAGTATAAAGGAGATATATACTGTATGATATTGAGATTGTTCACTCGCTGTCTCTTTGGTGGATTTGAAAAAGTTTAGAAAAGGGGATATATTTAACCGGGAGCACTAAAAGGAGGCACATTTGTAGAGAGCACATTGAGAGATTTTCATCAGAAACAGGAAAATAGTTCAGAAAAAGCACATAAAACTCTTCTGGTAATTTTCACCCTAATAATAAGGACTACTACACATAGACATCATAGCCATATTTTAATGAGTAGTTGCATGTCCTGAAAAAAATTTTGAGTAACAATAAGTTATATGTTTATTTTTGCTTCATCATATTTAAAGACATCTCAGACTCTAACCATATGAGATCAGTCTATTTATTAAAATTTATAATGTAGATGCTTGGAAACATATGTTAGATTGTCAATTTTTGCCAGTGGCTATGATAAGCATGGGGATACACAGCATATTAAAAACAATAAAACCAAGAGACTAGCTATGAAACATACTAGTATGTTAGAGTCTACATTATCAACAAGAGCAGTAAAGGTAGCGTTATAGAAAATAATGAGGAACATATAAGTGAAAACTGTAGTCTCAGATTTTTCTGTACAATAAAATTATGTAAATGCCCTTAGTAGCCAAGTGCAGTTTTGTCCATAGGAATAGCATAATTCATGACTATTCTTTGAGGAAAACAATAGAAAAATTACTTGGAATGATATATGTCATAAGAGAATAAATTATTGTAAAGTAATTCAAGTTAACTCATGAGATAACTAGAATTTCCAATTACATATGGTCCAAAGATTGGCTTTATTTGTGTCAGAACATCAGACTCTGAGGCTTTGAACCCTGCATTCATGGGCACTTCTTCAGACTAGTATAGTTAGCTTATCTTCCAAATAATCTTTCTAGGGCCCTCTTTATGTCATTGTTCCTGAGACTGTAGATGAAGGGGTTCAGCATAGGAGTTACCACAGTGTATATCACCGAGGCTGTTGCACTTGAATGTGAGTTTTGGGTAGCAGCAGAGCTGAGATACACTCCTAGGCTTGTACCATAAAATAAGGAGACAACTGAGAGGTGAGATGCACAGGTAGAAAATGCCTTATACTTCCCCTGAGCTGATGGGATTGCACATATGGAGGAAAGTATCCTAGAGTATGAGTAAAGGATCCCAGCAAGGGGACCACCACCCAGCAGCACAGTTAGACAATTTATCATAAGGCTGTTAAGAAAGGTGTCAGAACAGGCAATGTGGACCACCTGATTGAGTTCACAGAAAAAGTGGGGGATTTCCAAGTCTGAGCAGAAGGTCAGCCTCAACACCATTAAGCTATGTAGCAAGGAATGTAGGGCACTCATGCTGGAGGACACCAGAACCAAGAGTCGACATAGCTGGGGGTTCATGATGACTGTGTAGTGCAGGGGGTGGCAGATGGCCACAAACCGGTCATAGGCCATTACTGTCAGGATAAAATTGTCCAACACTGCAAAGAATGTATAAAAATACATCTGGGTTATGCAGCCTGCATAGGTGATGACTTTGCTCTGTGTCTGGATGTTCCCCAGCATCTTTGGGATGGTGGTGGAGGTGAAACAGATGTCTACCAAGGACAGGTTGGAGAGGAAGAAGTACATAGGTGTATGGAGGTTGGAGTCTGAGCTGACAGCCAGGATGATGAGCAGGTTTCCCAACACAGTGACCAGGTACATGGAGAGGAAAAGCCCAAATATGAGGGGCTGCAGTTCTGGCTTCTCTGAAATTCCCAGAAGAAGAAATTCTGAAATTTGTGTAAGATTCACAGGTTCCATGTGGTGGAGGTGACTACCAGGAAAGATCAAAATAACATGACTAATTTTCACACAAAGTTGTATTACTCACATATTTGAAATGCTACAATTAATATTTTATAGTGAAGACATTAATTTTAATATTTTGTGTATGGATATGGTCCCCTGTATGGGATATCCAGTGCCACCCCTGATATAGATTGTTTGTCTCAATCCCCTATTTCTCCGAGGGCTTCATGTATTCTATAGTTTGAATGAGAATTTTTTTCATGTTTCTCAGGAATGTAAATTGAGTGCTGACCATGTTTTAGGCACTGTCCAGGCTGTGAGAATAGGGTGCTGAAAAACAAAAGTCTCTACAATCCAATGAGGAGGGATGAATGTAGAAACAAATAATAAAATAATAAATTATTTCAGATGGTGGCCACTCATAAGAAGAAAAGGAAAGTATGTGTAAAGGAGAACGTGAATAGGAAGTTCTATTTTTCATGAGATTGTAGGTAGATCTGCAAGCAAGGTGTCATTTGAACAGAGATCTCAAAAAGGTGAGCAGGGAAAATTTTGAGATGTCCTAAATTAAATAGCACTGGGACCAGAGAGTGAGAGAAAAAGATAAGAGTAGTCAACCAGCTAAAAGCTGTGAATCCACTTACTAAAGACTGCTCTCATTCCTGAATGTATGTTGGAACTTGAATCAATATCTGTAGTGATCACTAGAGACCCCTGCATACTCCATGTGCATGAATTTTCAGGACTCTTGCCTGTAACCAATCAAAATGGTAATGTAAATACTTGTGTGTCTATCCCAGACCTGCCCCAGTTTACTTTCTCCTAGCACAGTGGACACGTCTTCTGTACCTCGCTCTGCTACTGGTGGTTTCAACTCCATGCTCCAGGACCTGGCCCTTTCCTGGCTGGCATTTGGCTCAATAAATAATGTTGTTGTTTTTTTTTTTTTTAAAGAAAAGCTTTTGGCCAGGCTGGTGTTGCTCAGTGGTTGAGTGTCAACCTATGAACCAGAAGGTCATGGTTTGATTCCTGGTCAGGGCACATATCCAGGTTGTGGGACTCGATCTCTAATGGGGGGGCCTGCAGGAGGCAGCGGATCAATGATTCTCTTCCAACATTGATGTTTCGATCTCTCTCTCCCTCTCCCTTCTTCTCTCTGAAATCAATAAAAAATATGTTAAAAAAAGCTTTTGACCCTGAAATATTTTTTTTTTAACACAACAGAGAATGGCAGATACAAGGCTCTGTGGGAAAGTGTGTGCAAGCAGAGAGACTGGCCAGTGCAAAGGCCCTGGGGAAGGTTCTGGTGTCCAATGTTCAAGTCAAAAAGTGAAGCAAGTTTGCAGGGTGAATAAGCATGAAGGAGAGTGATGAGAAGTGGTGGCTGACAGATTGAGGAGTGAGGTGGCTTGTCTGCTACTGCTAACACCTTAGACATAGGGACTTCCTCATCCACATAGCCTCTTATACTTTATTAATCATGTTGCAAAGGTGTCCCGTGAATGGAAACAGATCCCCTCCTTAGTAGCTTCTCTTGATTGAGTTCTGGTCTCATATTGTATGAGCCAGCTTGGAGTGTACAACTACCCTTGGTCTGAGGACTGCTCACATCTAAAAATCACACACACACACACACACACACACACCCCATCACTACCACCACCACCACCACCACCACCACCACCACCACCACCACCACGGCCTCCTCGATAGTTATTCCCATATCTGTCTTAGCCCCAGGCATACTGACTATGCTACAAATGGAAACAATTGAAGGTGGCCAGATAGTGATCTTTTACCTGTATAATGTAGAAATGGTTTCCAAAAAGTCCAATTCTTAAGCCTTCCATAGACAAATAAACTTGGGGTTACATACTGGGATGGCCATTTTCTGCCCTTTATTTAATAAAACATAATGAAATATATTCAATGAATTGAAAGGAGAGAGAGATTAAGGGGAGAAGAATGAAATAGATGAGAAGGAATAGAGATTTAATAAGCTCAGGGGGTCATGGAGAGAGTGTGAGGAACATGAATATTCTTGGGTCGTGCAGTATTTAAACCCTCAACATATCCCATTGATGCCAGCAAAACAATAAGTAAACAAGAATAAGCTTGTCCAAAAGACAAAAGTATCTTCTATTTTGTACACCTTTATAATGAGTTAAGGCATAAACCAACCCTTCACACACATAAAGTATAAAAAAAGTTGGGTAATTTTGTTATCAAGCAGTGGAAGACTTGTTTTCTGTACCCATTCCATAATCACTTGACCAATTTGTTTTTATGTGGTCTGATAGGGGATGAGGTTAGTCCCGTAGTCCGCAAACCCTGGCTCTCGAACCACATGCGGCTCTTTGGCCCCTTGAGTGTGGCTCTTCCACAATATACCACGTGTGGGCGCGCACGTACAGTGCAATTGAAACTTCGTGGCCCATGTGCAGAAGTCGGTATTTTGTGGAAGAGCCGCACTCAAGGAGCCAAAGAGCCGCATGTGGCTCCTGAGCCCCGGTTTGCCGACCACTGGTGTCCCTTTCTCCCTTTTCTTATGAGGCACCTTTTCTGTGTTATTTTTGGGCTTTGGGTTTTCATCTTTTTTGACACACCCTGTGAGCACACTCTGGTCCTGGCTCCAGTCTTCATGCAACATGCAAATCCTCCCCAGACCATGCCTTATAAATCCTGCCCACACCATGACAGTTCTCTCTCTTTATACTGAATAGCTTTCTTCATATGACTCTTCCTGAGGACAATTTTTTAAACACACATTTATTTAATTGTTTTCTGCCCTCACTGTCAAACTGTATGATCAAAAGAGCAGACACTTAACCTGCTTTATTCACGTTTGGATTTTTCACAAAGGTATGTGAATAGATGTGCACTTACACAGAAATAAAACTAAGAATGTGAATAGTGATAAAATGAAAAAATGAAAGGATAATGAAACCAGGTTAAAAGAAGTAGTTTCAAAATAACAACAGTAAGCAGAATTGAGTGGAGAATTAAACACTAACTGAAACAAGACACAAAACACAATCATTTAAGAATATCAATGTGGGTTGACTATTAAATTATAAAGACCTAGATATAAATGTATATAATGTATAATGTTCCTAGAATTTTCTGGCACATAGCAGATGCTCAGTTATTGTTCATTTAATGAGTCTGAAAGACCATAATGAGTTTCAACGTACATGAACATTTTCCATATGGAAAGCTTATACTTCAACATAGTTGAAAAAGCTTGAATTGTTACATGAAAGCTGGCATAAATGGCTATGGATCGGAAAGAATATTGAATTGGTCCTTGCCCTTTGACATCTTGCAAGATATCATAGAGGGTATGAACTTGGTGTAAGAATCACCAATACATTTTTGATGAACATTAGAAACTACATATAAAATTTACAGGTGGGCAAAACTGTCTTAACTAAAGAAAGAAACTCAGTGGTTAGAAAATAGATATATTTAAATAAAATGTTAAAAATTTATGGTCAAAATATCTTACAACAATCAGCTCAGAAAGAATGTTTTCTAGAAATGTTATTGGAAAATGAGAAAATAAATGAAGTTTGCAGAAACTGAGTAATAGTTTGAGAAAACAAGAAATGTCTTTCACACCCATCAGCCTGGGGAAAAACTGGAAGAGCAGTCATGTTTGGTTGGGGTTGGAACTTTGAAACTGGTAGCAAAAGGGTGTACTCTAATTTCACTGTCAGAAAGTGTTACAATTTTGGAAAACAACCTGAAGTCAGCTATAAGTATTACAAACAGTGATGTTATTTAATTCAGAGTTTCTTAGCATCGGCACTGTTGGCATCTGGGACAGACTGTTCTCTGTGGTGAGGTCTGTCCTGTGACTTGAAGATTGTTTAGCATCCCTGCCTCCACCCACCCCTCTCCAGTGTGACAGTCACAGATCTCTCTGGAAATAGCTCAATGTCCTATAGGGGACAAAATCACCGCTGATCAGAACCACAGTTTGAATTTCATAATTTAAATATATTTTAATAGCATTGATATGAGAGCAATTTAGTGATAAAGAAATGAAAGACCATAAAAGGTGTGAGTAGCAGTCACACTATGAATTCTTACGTAGCCATTGAAATAAATACATTAATTATTTTACCAAACACAGCAATCTCTTGCCTCTGGACTAAGTTGAATTGTCTCTTAGGTGAAAATAGGTAAATGTTCTTGGCTTCCATTCTCTGTGACCTTGTCATGCAGGGTCAGCTGTGATATTGACTCACCAGGATAAGATCTCTGAGAGGAAGGTCATTGTGGGGACATCTGAATTCCTCCCTAAATGGTTGATGAAAGAGACTGAAGCTCTGTTCACTGGCAAGACAGCTGGAAAGTGTGAAGTATCAATTCCCCGTCAGAATTGGGCCTCCAAATGAACAAATGACAGTGAGAAATAAACATAACCATGCCCTCCCAGCCTAAGGTTACACAAGCTGAGAGACCAGGGATGAGGGGATATTTATAAATCCCCATACCTGCTCTGCAAGCACATTTCTCACTTATTTCTCCAGCCTCCAAGCACACAAATATGATATATTTTATAGCAATAGAAGGATTGGGGTAGCAGATGGAACAGGCTTATTAATCGGCTGACTTTAGAATAGAGGTTGAGCCAGGCTCATCCAGGTGGGACTAAGTTAAGCACAGTGGTTCTGTTAATGCTGAAGAGAGAGACAAACGAATTAGACTCAGAGAGACTTTTGAAAATGCTATCCAGCTGGCTTGAAGATGGAGGAAGGAACATGAGCCATGGAATGCAGGCGGCCAGCCACACTAACAGGCATCAGAGAGAACAGATCCTCCCCTCAGCCTCTAGAAGGACCCCATCCCTGCACACATCTGGATATTAGTCAGTGAGACTCCTTTCAAGGCTCTGACATCCACACTGTAAGAGCATATGTTTGTATGTTTTAAGCAACTAGTGTGGGAATACGTTACGACAGCTATAGGATTCTAATACAGACATTTATTCAATAAATTTGTCTGAAGAACCGAGTTTAAGGCTCTTCACTCATTAGCTTCCCTTGGGTAAGGGCATTTTATGTTACAAACACACATGAAGTAGAAAAGAAATTTTAACTAGATTTGGAGATATTTTCCCCCCTCGCTGGTACAGTGAAGGCCTCACTGCATAAATGTAAACTGACTGTGCTGCCTCTGTGGCATTAAGAGTTAAGCTACAAGGGATGACTTTTATTTTTCCATCTATATAACTATGCTGACTTAGTTATAAGCACCCTATATCTTTGCCTAGAATTTGGTTAGTCTTTAATTTATATTCCCAGAATGCATGCCAGAATTTCTCATTACACGTAGAGACCACGGGGGAAAGGCTGAGTATGGGGTAGGAATTCCTGTCAATTGTTCCAACAGAGAAAGTGAGTGGGTAACAAATCCAAGAATATATGCAGCCCTGCCAATAATAAATAATTAATTCAAAGTAAAACTATTTAGTAGTCTTTTCCAGACTTATTAAATACTTTTTTTTTCACACAAATACCCAGCATGAGAGAAGATACTGCAATGAATGTCTCACAAATTGCTATTGCAAGGGACCAACTCCCTGACTGGTCAGGATCTTTTCAATAAATACAAAACATGCGCAAATACACACCATCTTTGAAATTTAATACAAACACTCTCACTTTACTGCACTCTTCTTCCCACCCAATACTCCAATACCTTCTTCCAGAAAAACGAATCTTCTCAGATACATTTTTATTTTACTGCAATCAATTTATGCGTCTCACTCATTCTATAGTGTCATCCAACTGGACTCCTGTTCTTATCACTTTATTGTCAACTAAGGTCCTTGTAGTACAGATTCAAACACACACACATCTTTCTTAATGTATTAACTAAATTAATTACACATTAGTTACTTAACCAACAATATAGACACAATACACTCTTGCCTCTGGGTAAGGCTGTTAGGGTCACAGTGACTCAGGTAAAAGTTTTCAGGTTCCGTTCTATCTGACCCTCTCCTGATGTACCTGCTGGTCTCTCAGACTCACCTGAATGGGTCTCTGAGAGGATGGTCTCCGTGTGGAACTCCTCCCTGGATGGTGGAGACTGAAGCTCTGCCCCACAGGAGACAGCAGGAAGGAGTGAAGCATCAGCTCCTGACTCAGCTTAGGAATCAAAAGCAAGAGTCATGTGCTGTCCCCCAGCGTTGTACAAGCTGAGGACTGCACAGGGGAGATATTTACAGCTCTCTCTTTATCTGCTCATCAGGCACATTTCCCTTGTGTTACTCCAACTTATAAACACATGATGTCCCTCTGGGCCTCTGGAATAAACAGAAAGGGAAATTTTCCTAATGATTCTCTGATCCCAGGAGACCAGATTGTAAGTCAGTGTACTTAGTTTTTATGACTTCATGTCTTCATCTTGCCTGCTTTCAAGGGCAGAAAGACCTACTACTCACCCCATCCCTGACTTCCCTTTTTCTTCAAAGTCTGATTAGGGTTGGAACACAACCCTCATGTCTCTAGAGAATTGTTATGCTCTTCTTCAATATGGCAGAACTGCGCTCCTTTGATATGCAATCCTTGGCACCACACTCTTTGGCTTCCTGACACATTTGTCAAAATAATTAGGGATTTATACTTATATTACCAGTTAAAAGGTATCATTTAGATCCTCACAAAATATTGATTAGTTTTCCTCTCCAGTGTGCCTCCGGTGACTGAGCATTGTCCCATGCACCTATAGGTTGTTGGCATGCCTGTTTTGCTGGCTTGATAGGGGTTGTGCAGGAGGCAGCTCATCAATGCTTCTCTCTCATGGATCTTTCTGTTTCTCTTTCTCTGTAAAAAAATCAATAAAAACATATTAAAATATTTATTAATTATAAGAGATACATTTAGATATTTTTTAAAATATATTTTTTACATTCCTTTCAGAGAGGAAGGAAAAGAGATAGATAGAAACATCAATGATGAGAGAGAATCATTGATTGACTGGGGTTTTGTTTAGCTTCTTATTTGCAACATAGTACATAGTTGCAAATATATATATATATATATATATATATATATATATATATAGAGAGAATCATTGCCATCAAACCTCAGAGGTCTATATATATAGACTAGAGGCCCGGTGCATGAAAATTCATGCACTGGAGGGTGGTCCCTCAACCCGGCCTTCCCCCTCTCACAGTCCGAGAGCCCTCAGGGGTGGGAGGCGACCTGGTGATCAGGGGAAGGCAACGTCCTCATCACACCTGTGCTGCTGCCATTGCCGGCAGCACAAGCCTTGGCTGGCCCTGGTTATCTGAGCCTCGGGTGGCCCTGGGCAGCTGGGCAGCTGCCATCCAAGGCTTGCCTGCACCTCGGGCCCGCCCTGGGCGGCTGGGGAGATGAGGGCAGGTCTGGCCACACCGTGCACCTGCTGCCCCCCTGGCTGGGCTGAAAGGACTGGGGGACTCTGGCAGGGCTGAGGGGACTGGGCACCGCCATCTTGTGGCTATGGGCGCTTCCATCTTTGTGACGGAGTGACAGTCAATTTGCATATTCCCTATTTATTAGATGGGATGAGTGAGATCATGTGATATTTATCTTTCTCTGAATGGCTTATTTCACTTAGCATAATGCTCTCCAGGTCCATTCATGCTGTTGCAAATGGTAAGAGTTCTTTCTTTTTTACAACTGCATAGTATTCCATTGTATAGATGTACCACAGGTTTTGAATCTACTCATCTGCTGATGGGCACTTAGGCTGTTTCCAAATCTTAGCTATTGTAAATTGTGCTGCTATGAACATAGAGGTGCATATATTCTTTTTGATGAGTGTTTGTGAATTCTTAGATATATTCCTACAAGTGGGATCACTGGGTCAAATGGGAGTTCCATTTTTTAAAATTGTTTAAATATTACATATGTCTCCTTTTCCCCCCATCAACCCCTTCCTGCCACTCCCAACCCCTATGATAAGCCCCCACCACCCCAGTGTCTATGTTCATTGGTTATGCTAATATGCATGCATATAAGTCCTTTGATTGATCTGTTACCTCCTCACCCCACCTTCCCCTGCCTTCCCTCTGAGGTTTGATGGTCTGTTTGTTGTTTCTGTCTCTGGATCTATTTTTGTTCATCAGTTTATGTTGTTCATTATATTCCACAAATGAGTGAGATCATGTAATATTTATCTTTCTCTGACTGGCTTATTTCGCTTAGCATAATGCTGTCCATGTCCATCTATGGTGTTGAGAATGGTAAGAGTTCCTTCTTTTTTTACAGCAATGTAGTATTCCATTGTGTAGATGTACCACTGCTTTTTAATCCACTCATCTGTGGATGGGTACTTAGGCTGTTTCAAAATCTTAGCTATTGTAAATTGTGCTGCTATGAACACAGAGGTGCTTATATTCTTTCTGATGAGTGTTTGTGAATTCTTAGGATACATTCCTACAAGTGGGATCACTGGGTCAAATGGAAGTTACATTTTTAATTTTTTGAGGAAACTCCATACTGTTTTCCACAGAGGCCGCACCAGTCTGCATTCCCACCAGCAGTGCACTAGGGTTCCCTTTTCTCCACAACCTCACCAATACTTGTCATTTGTTGATTTGTTGATGATAGCTATTCTGACAGGTGTGAGATGGTACCTCACTGTCATTTTGATTTGCATCTCTCAGATGATTAGTGACTTTGAGAATTTTTTCATATGCTTTTTGGCCTCCACTTTGGAGAACTGTGTATTTAGGTCCTTTTCCCATTTTTTAATTGGATTGTTTATCTCCTATTGTTTAGTTGAATGAGTTCCCTATAAGTTTTGGAGCTTAACCCTTATCAGATATATCATTGCCAAATATATTCTCCCATGCAGTGGGCTCTCTTATTATTTTGTTGATCATTTATTTTGCTGTGCAGAAGCTTTTTATTTTAATGTAGTCCCATTTGTTTATTTTCTCCTTAATTTCCATGGTCCTAGGATATGTATCTGTAAACATATTGCTTTTGCTGCCAATGGTTTCTTCTAGGATTTTTATGGTTTCACATTTTACATTTAAGTTTTTTTTTTATCTATTTTGAGTTTATTTTTGTGTATGGTGTAAGTTGGTGGTCTTGTTTCATTTTTTTGCATGTATCTTTTCAATTTTCCCAACACCATTTATTGAAGAGACTGTCTTGACTCTGTTTTATGCTCTTGCCCCTTTTGTCAAATATTAATTGAGTATAATGACTTTGGTCAATTTATGGATTCTCTGTTTTGTTCTATTGGTCTATATGCCTATTCTTGTGCCAGTACCAGTCTGTTTTGAGTACAGTAGCTTTGTAGTATAACTTGATATATGGTATT